TGAAAACTTTCTATCTAATATTAAATACTAATGACTAAATAAAGACAATCAAAGTTAGAATCCTTAATTTTTATCTGTTAAGACTTTCCTAATGTGGTTTGATCAGATTTGACTGCAACATATGCAAACAACAGTCATCACACTGTGATTCAAATGTCGCTAAACTCTGATTGGTGCACGGAGATAAATTACGTCATCTTTTTCCAAATGAGTCCCATCCACTTCTAAAGAAGAAGTCAAGAAAACAAACAAAAACTCCAATATAAAAAATTCTCATGCAAAGTAGCTGAAACGTTTCTAACTTTGGCAGAAACATTTGTAACAACAAACAACATCACTCCCAGTAAGAAGCTTGCAGGGAGCTTTGGCTCAAGGGGTAGAGCAGATTGGCTGCTGATCCCTGGGTTGGCGGTTCAATCCCAGGCTCCTCGAACACAGGGATGCATCAGGGGAAGGCATCTGGTTTAAAAACAAAATATGTTGCCAAATCTACTACGTGGCTGGGGACAACAACTCCTAGTAAGAAGCTGATTGAAGTTTTCAGGGCCTTGAACTCCTAGAAATTATGTTTATATTCAACTAAACTGCAAAAGCAAATGTCTTGTAGGAAACATATTCACTGGCCGGATTACATTTGGAAGCAAAATCTTTTTGAATGAAACGCTGTTATTTATTAATGGCAGTGGAGTCACCAGGAGGAGGTTGGGGAGGCATTTCCAACAAAACACATTTGCTGTTAATTTCTAGGAGTCAGTTTTGCCAGTAGAGGCTGTAATGCATCATCGTCAGTCACGTTCTCCTCCACTAAAGATATCTTCGCTTCCTTTCACGTACCAGGAGCAGAATAATCAGGAGCTGCTATACTTAATATTTTTTAAATTAACAATTGATCACATGACTGCTTGTATGTGAAAGGGGACGCACATAGTGACAAACCTACACATAACTATCACCACGCAACCCGATGGAGATTAATGGCACCTTTCAGCTCATTTTTTTTTGGTTTTCAGGACTGCAACTTTACTTAGTTTGGTCCATCCTCACTGTTCCCGTCAGTGTCTTTTTCAGTCTAGCAAGCTGAAAAAGTTGTAAAAAACCTACAGTATGCAACCTGCCCAACACCAAGTGGCAGACAGACAAAGTTGGCCACTAGCTGGTAAATATACTGAAGCATTAAGGAGCTAATAAACCGGAAAGGTTAAAGGAGAGTGAGGCCAGAACCACAACTCCACATGATTGCTAATGTTGCCCTGTAACTGCTTCCAGTGTAAACTCTTTCTGACATGAAAAACTTTAAAAAGGTAATAATGGCTTCATGATGTATTTACAGCTTCTGGCTTCGCAGTCATCTCTAATGGTCCCAGGCTTATTGAAGAAAACACTTTGACCTGATGGCGATGCTAAACAAAAGATTAGGGGTTATCATTGTCATTAGATATCATCCTCTGGGGGCCATACGCGTCCATTCTTTCATTTCATTACTTATTAACACATGTTTCTGTGGACCTGCTGGGAGTTTTGGATGGACCGACCAACATCATCACCCTTAACCTTTTATATGGCTGTCCTGGACTATTCAGCTCAACAATGTTATTGCTGGTGCTGAGAAAACTTTTTAAACATGGCCTAGCACACATTGTAATTAGACAAAGTGATACCAGAAAACAAAAACTAACACTGCCATTTTCCACAATGGCAGCAGAACAAGTAACAAATTTTTGGTCATCTTTTATAGTTAAGCCTCTCACTGTCCGACTGAACCAGGGAAAGAGAGAAATGTTTTGCACAGAGACACAGATCTGAGATTTATTGCCAGACAAGGCTGCTGGCTCTTACACTGCTCAGGCCCTCTCGCTGTTTTCTGGTGCCAGTGCTGGTGGCAGATCCAGAGTCGAGGCTGGCAGACACATCCATTAGATAGACATGGTTGAGTGGTCACAGTGTTAGCAAGGACACAGCTGTCCAGGCAACTTGGGATTACCTTGAGATTACCAAAACATACAAACAGTTCCTCTGACATTCAAAGGCCTTTATGTCAGCATGTGTAGACATTTCACCTTCATGGTGGTATCTATCTATAGTGACAATGGGAGCAGTATCTCGGATGTGTCTGAGCCTGTTTCTGGATAGTTTGGTTTCCTTCATGTACGTCTTTACTGCACATGCATTGGTCCTCGTCTGGGTTAGGCACTATAAATTCCAAGTGTTGGCGGTACTTTGGGTGATTTAGTGATAGTGTTAAACTGATTATAAATAGCATACAATTTGTAGAAATGTTTGCAGGCTGTTAGGTCACAACGGAACATTGTTTTTCTGCATTTCTTTAACTATATTTCAGCCTGTGACAGGTCCAGTCCACAGGTTTGTGGGCCGACTGACTTGTTTATGAGCTGAACAAGCCAGTCAAAGTGCTCCACTGTCAGGCCAAAACCATCAATAAGACTAGGCCCTGCTAGCTGCTGGATGAGATGATTAAATGGTCGGTGCTCTATTCTCCCCAGCACAGCAAAACAACATCCTGTGTTCAAACAGAACTCCTTATCCGCTACTTCAAGAGCAAGCAGAGCAGAACGCTTCCTGCATCGAGCTCTCTGTAACCAGCTCCACTTTGCCTTGAAGCACTTCTATGAGGAAATGGCCAAGCTGTGCTTTATACTCTCCCTTGCTAGTCTTAGACGTATGACAGGGTGGTCCGAAATAGCACAACAACCTGACTGAAACAGAACAGACAAGCCCTGAAAAACAGTTACTGAGTTTGACACATATCTGTTCTACAGCTACTGCATGCTGTGATGATCGGAGCTACCAGATCTACTGAAAACACCCTCCAGCTTTTCTTCTTCTTACTGAATGGTAAAAAAGTAAAAGCATCCACTTTTTGCTGTATATACCTGTTGAAAAGCCACAGTCACTGGTTTCAAGCAGGTTCCAGCTTCTATTTTCTGAACCATTTCTACATTTAGTCAGCGTGAAGGTACATATTCAGCCATGAGCGTCATGTACGCCGCCGTCAGGACGAGCTTTTCGTGGTGTGAAAACACTATGAGATTAGATGTTGCAAATTGTAAACTGCTTTACCCAGTAGTCATGATTTTAGACAAAACAATATCAAGATTGAGACTGTGAGACTGTGACTGTGATTTCTTTTGGCAATGTTACTCTGAAATTATTGTATGACAAATGATAACCACCATACCCATCTGAGATATGGTCATTTTGAAAGCGTAGCATGTACTAATATTAAATAAACCTTGACAACATCAGGGCCCGGAGCGGTGAATGCACCGTGGCCGTTTGATACCAGTTTTGCGCAAGCATATTTTGTATTTTTGGATGCTATTTCACACTCCCACATAGAGAACAAAGCATATGAGAAGAGCAACAGGAATTTGTCTCTCCAAACGCAAGGCAGTGCTCTATACTCCAAATATGGATGGTCCAGAATTACACTGTATTATTCTTTTTAAACCATAAGCTGTGTAGGCACTTTGAAAGGGATATTCAATCACAGTTCAATGACACTCCACTTCACTCTCATGCTCTCAAAACACATAATCCACTCCTGCACCCCACTTATGGCCTCAAAACCCAGCGCTCTAATCTGTCCTGTGGTTTAAATTAAATCCTTATGGATACTGTTGTTTCTTCTTGCAGTCACCAACATGGAGCCCACTGTATGGAAAGACCATTGTTATATTGCTTTTATCTCTTGTGTGCAGAACTAACTCCTCCTTTGGCTCTCAAGAAAGTCAAATTGTATTAGTTATTGTTTGTGACACAACTTCAGAGCAGTTTAAGAAATACCTGCTCCTATTATTGCCTGAATTCAGAATAACTGTGTAATTCTAAGGAACACAATTCATGATCTTATTAAGAATATTAATAATTAATATTAATAAAAAAAAAGGTGTTAACAATACCAACAGCCCAGCATGTCTTCTTTATTTATTTACTCCGATCCAACACTGTAATCAGGGCTTTGACAAAAAGCTGAGATATGAACATGCTCTGAAACAAGCAGTGGGCATCTAGGGGTAAAGGGGCAAAAGCTAGAAATGTCAGTACAATGACAATAAAAATCAATTTAGCTATTGCCCCCCCCCCATACTATTAATCACATTACAGGAGTAGAAATATAATAATCTGTAATCTATTGATAGTCACAGGGAAACAAGGTCAAAGGCTTGCTGCCATGTTGTGTCCCTCATTGGAGAAAAATCAAATGGCCCTGATTGAATTTTTTATCATTTTTTACATAATATTCTTAGATGAAATGCGGTTTTCTTGCTCAAGTAGTTGTTTGATTTTTCCACTGATTTCCTGATTGTTTTTCAGTGTAACATTTAATATAAATCAAGACACTCAGTGGACTTTAATCAGATTAATCAGCCAACACGGAGGGTAGATATTTTTTGAATATGAGCTACAGCACAGAATATCAGTAATAAAATAATAATCAGTGCATCTATTTTATACTGGACTATAGTACAGTATGATTTAAGATAGTAAAGTACAGTATACTACAGCAGAATATAGTAAAACATAGTATACAGTATACTGGAGTATAGTACAGTATAGTATAGTATAGTATAGTACATAGTGTTTAGTATACTGGAGTATAGTATAGTGCAATATAGAATATAATTGAGTAATTTACAATGTAGTATAGTATATTTTCATATAGTAAAGTACAATATAGTACAATATAATATGTGCTGGAGTACAGTATAGTACAGCAAAGTATATTCTGTGATAGTATAATACTGTATATACAGGAGTAAAGCATGGTATATGAATATGGTATACTGATATTTGAAGTGTAGAGTAATGATTAGTGCTGTTTAGTAGAGAGGAGTATATAGAAAACTTAATATAAACATGATGTTCATTCAATCACAGAGTTTTTACTTATTCTGTTTAACAAAAAACAAAAAAAACAGAGAGAATCAAATCTTTACAACAACATCAAAAACCACGGCCATGTGGCGGTACAGACTTACAGGTAACTGTTTCTCCAGGCAGTTGTTGAAGTTTTTGATTTGGTTGGGCTTCAGCTTCTTGAGGGGGATTCGCGTTTCCCCGATGAACTCGTTGTGGCGGAATTTGTCCTCATCACACACTGAAATCCTGAGAGGAGAAGAACAGAGTAGGTGGAGGAGGGCAAATAAATGAAATGAGGCTCAGGTTAAGGTTTTGTTGCTGAGAGGAGGCTTAAAACCGTAAAACAAGTCATTTTCTACCTGGAGCCCATCATCCTCCATCACAGGGATTCACTTCTCACTAAAATCTTCACTTCACTATAGAGCTACTCCCACTGAATCTCTAAGGCCTCTGGTCTCTAAAGTAAAACCAGAGTAGCTCTACAGAGAAGGGGTTCATAAGATTTTTGTCAGATTAAATCAGTATGACAGGAAATGATGGGACGATTAAACTTTAGGAAGCGTTGAGCCATGTGTGGATCAAAAGACTAAAATTAGAAGAGAAACTTGTGATGAGAAGAAGCTCAGAGACAAATGACATTGTTCCTCTTCACGTCAAAATAATTTAAAACCAAATCACGACTTCAACTTGAACATACAGTACCTTGCTGTGCTCATCTTATTTACTCAATTAGTGCAGCTCGAATTGAATTGTGCTCTGGTGCACGGTACATTCAGCCTGTTTACTGATTTGTATTATGTGCCTATTTTCTGTTTCCACTGAACACGTAAACACACATCCTCTTTTCAATGCATGACAACATCCTTTGTAAACATTACTGTATATTTGCCAGCGTATTCTTCAATCAATAAAAAAGAAGAATCATTACACGACACAGTGTAGCTGCCCACAAAAGATAATGATTGATGGTGAACTGAAAGGCAGCTCACAATTCAAAACCACTGAGGACAAAAGGCACACAGGGAGGCGATACACTGAGCTTCGGGTTTTACTTTCCAGACTGGAGATCTAAATTCCTCTCCGCCGTTTCATTAAATTTATAATGAAAGTCAATTATTGGTGGGGGGGGGACGCTGCTCTCAGTGGACACAGACTATGTCTTCACTAAATGCAGAGAGCAGTCCCCACGTAAGCACTCACAGCCCTAACAATGACATGATTCATGCTCATGTTGTGGAATACTGTTTGTTTTCAAGTGCGTTTCGCTGCATAATCACCTGATGTATGGAGGAAAACAGGCAGCCACTGTGCAACCCAAGGTATGAGTAATATGTACTCATGCTGTGGGGGGCAGCATAAAAAAAAGAATCACAATGAAACTCAATAAAAAATAACTTATTTGGTACGTGGACAGTCAATTTATAACAAGAAATGAGTAGCGATGTTCAGAAACGGGGAGACCATTTGTCTATTGTTTCTGGGAAGTGGTTTATCAAGGCACCGTTTTGGGAATAGATTTTTTGGTGTGTGCTCACACAGCTGTCTGTCACATCACATCTGTGAGAAGCTGCTAATGATACAGACATTCTTTGTGTTTTGGTTCTCAATGCAGCAACAGTACAACCATATTTTTGCTGCTCTACAACACACACACACACACACACACACACACACACACACACACACACACACACACACACACACAGTTTCTCTGCCATTAATCCACCAAAATTTAACGTGCATATAGGATGGTTGAACATCCAGTTTGGTGGCAGTAGTAGAAAGAAACACTTTCAGCTTCTGGAAAAGAAAACAAGCCCATGATGCAACAGTGTTGGATGAGTCTAAGAGGCTCAACAGAGGGGGCTTCATTCACTATTTCCTATATAACAGACACTCAATAGTTTACTTTATATTGACAAGTAAATTTTGTGTCGTCACTGTCATCGCTTGTGTTGTGCGACTATTAAATTTTGCATCTATAAAATGTGATGCACTGCAACAGAAAGCTGTGAACATTTTATGCACTAGAAGAAGAGAAGAAGAATTCCCCTTGAGGGGAATGTTAATGTCTGTACAAATTGTTTCAACTTAAAACCACTTAAAACCACAAATGTGAACCTCGTGTAGGCACAAGAGGAAAACTCAGAGGATCACCAAAGTCTTTAGAATTCAGAAAACTAAAGCAAAGTAAAATCCTCCATAATATACGGCCCAGCTATCACCGTGACATATCCTGTAGCTACCAAAATGATTATGCATATGATTGCATAACCTACTTCCACCACTTGATTGCACAGTGTTAACACTTTGGTAAAAATAAAGGAGCAAAGAACAGTGAAGTAACACCTCCATTGCATAACAGTGTCATGTTTACCATGGGAAGCAGGAGTTTGTGCTCCAGGTTTCAGTCTATTCTCAGGTGTTGTAGCGAAAACAAATAACCGACACAACAGGAAGTCGTCTCACACAAACAAAAGGTTTTCCCGACCGTTGTTCTGATCGGGGGCTATCACACCTTCAGGTTTCACCCTGGCACGGGAACCCGCATCAGACATTGTGGTGAAGAGGAATCAACAGGTTACATAACAACACCATCAGACAGAGGCGGTAACACAGTTTACCTCGGGAACCAGGAAGAAGAGACGCTGCCAAACATGATGATGACTTTCTCAACCCTTTTCAAACTGATCCACAGCAGCTACGTTTAAACATTTATTCTCTTCCTTCTCTCACATTCCTTTCATTTCCTTCTGTCTTTTTTCTGTCCTCTCTCTCCCTTCCTTTTACATCCTTTGTTCTTTTTCTGTCACTTTCTCTTTAATTCCTTTCATTTCTTTCTACCTCTTTTCCAGGACTTTCATTGTGTCCCTTCATTCTCTTCTTTTCCTTTCATTTCTTTTCTTTCTTTCATGTCCATTTCTGTTATTTCCTTTCCACTTTTTTCATTTCCTCCCTTCCTCTGTTTTTCCCCTTTAATTAAATTCTCTTCCTTTCTTGCCATTTCCCTTTCTTCCCATCCTTCTTTTTCCATATTTTGACATCTCATTTGCTTCCTTCTTTTTTCTTTTCCTTCATTTTTCCTTTTATTCTTTCAACCCCCCATTCCCTTCATTTCCTTCTTACCTTCCTGCTTCTTTTCCTCTACTCCCCTTCAGTCCTTCCTTCCTTTCTCTTCCATTGCCTTCATTACCCTCCCTAGTTTATTTTCCTTTAAGCCATTTGCTTCCTTCCTTCCGTTCCTTTTACTTTGCTATCAGCCATTCCTTTTTTAATCATCTTTCTTTCTTTCCTTCTTTTCCCTCTAATTCTTTCTACTTATTGTCCTTCCTTCCTTCCTTTCTTTCTTCTTTTCTTTTTTTTGTGTACCTGAGTGTTTTGCGGACCATATCCTCATCAGTGATGCCGTAGTAGGTCAGGGTCTCGCTCCAGACAGGGTTGAGTGTGTTGTGCAGGGTCTTGGTTCTAAGTTTATTGGCCTGAAAGACAATAAACAGAGAGAGTTTGTCAATGAACAGAATTGAACATTATCATTGACTAACTACTGTCTCCCTCTGACAACTCAGGAGAGCTCATCCCTCAGGTGTCAGCTTCATTGAAATGCTGCCAGAATTATATAAACATCCTTGAAAATGTGCAAAGCCTCTCTGCCCTGGTGAAAATTTGTCAATACATTGACGTCTGGTGGCACGCATGCAAACCCAAGCTCACTGCTGCATATTGAACACTGCCGGGAATGAAAAATAAACAGCAGACTGCATTTACGAGCGACAGCCATTATCATAGCAACGCAGGAAGTGAATGAAAAACACAGAGCAATGTGTTGAATTCTCTGAAGTTAAAAGATAGTTACAATGGCTCAGCTCTGGCTGTTCAGCCAGTTTCTGTCAACTCTAGAGAGAACAACGTTTCTGTCAGAGCTTCATCAAGCACTAAATTCTCAGTCTGTAAAACAAGACTATTTCTAAACCTGGTATATGTCAGGACTGCCTGTGGTCAAATCCTGATTTTAGAACACTGACAAAATCACCAAAGGCATTCATTAAAGACAAAGACTGAGCTGTGATTCCAGCTGTATTTACTTATAAAATGATCACTCAGAGAGAAAGTTAGAAGAGACAGACTATCTTTCTTATTTTGTCCCTCACACAGCGCACAGCCTCCGTCTGGGATCCACAAGAGTTTAGTCTTTATTTACTTAAACTCCAGAAGGTAACAGACTTTTATCAGAGGCAGCTGGGAAACCACAGTGGCTCGGTAGACTGCTGCTCGGCACTCTGCTGACCAGTGGTGTAAATATCATCACTCACTCAGTCAGTCAGTGACATTCAAGAATATAGGGCTGGCCCCTCTGTTTCAGTCAAGCCAAAATATATCTTTATACATGAGCCACAGGCTGCAACAATACAGGATCGAATAATCACAAAGTCATTAATTATTAATACACATACAATACGACAAGCTGCATACGTTAAGATTTACTGAATACAACATAAACCTGAAAGTACAGAGTCCTGGAATAGTAATATAATATAGAATATGCAATATTAATCAGGAGGAGAAGATCAAATAGGAAGACTGGGCAGCAGCCAGTTCAAGTGCCCAATTCAAACAAGAGACAATTTTCAAAATTGGCACTTTGAAGGAAAACCCTTATCCTCTTTCTTTCCTGGAGTGAGATGAGAAGATTGATAGCGCTCTCATGTCGCTGCACTCAAGCTAGCTTCTTTTTACGTCATAATTCTACTTTACTGTAGCTTTGTTACGACTGAATATGTGTGATTTATTGAATCTTGCTGGACAGCTGTTGGAAATGAGCATTTCTGTGCAGCATGTTCAGCTCAAGTGCAGGCTCGTAGGTTAGGTGCATGAACAACGGTTTGGTTTATAGTTCAACAAGTGCTGAGCACAGAATTCCCGATAAAACCACAGATAATTACTTTAAGTTTAATTTGTAAGCTTTACATTTGTTGGTAGTTATAGACTTTAACTTTGAACAGAGTCAAGCTAGCTGTTTCATTGTTTTTATCGTTAAAAAAACTAAAACAAATAAAAATGCAAACTTATCACATAGCATTAAATGACAATTTGTGCTCAAGGCCCTTTCGGAAAAATGTTTGTTAAACATATATCCAGTATGAGTCTCTTCTTTCCTCTAGGTAAGAATTGCATCAATAAATAACAAAGTAAACACCTGACTGTTTCACAGCAGTCTCACTCATTTACTTTGCCAGATTTGCATCAACTTCAATCTAGTGAGGTGAAAAATTACTGTGACAAACTACACAGGTTTATCAGTGGAATATCATGCGGGAAAATCCTCTGAGCTCCCCACTGAACATGACAAGATGAGGGTGATGATACTGTTTGGTGAGTCGTGGGTGAGGACATGTGATCTTGCTGAATTCATTCAATTAGCTGTGATTATTTGCAAGTCTGATGGCAGGCCTCCACGTAATAATAAGCCTCTCGCTGATTGTTTCTCCCCCAATCAGTGGTTGTTTCCAACAGGAAGGGTGTTGTACACACACGCTCACACACACATGCATGCACGCACGCATGCTGCACACACACAGTGTTCAAAATGATGTTTTAAAGGCTGATAACCACATTTTGTATCCTATAATTTCATTAAATTATTAAATTAGATTCTTGCATGTTTTGCATTAATTATTCATGTCTTTTCTTCCTTCTTTCTGTCTTACATTAAAGGTTTCTCTGGGTTTTTAATCGTGTTGGAGTGAAATATCTCTTAATCAACAGTTCAAACAGGTCTGATGTTCTGCTGATTGACAGCTGCTGGAGAAACAACTGACCGATCAGAGCTTTGTAGGCGGGATTTAAGAATGTGAGTGTCCTTCTCCTACACTGGTAGCTGGCTACCTAAACATATCTATGAAAAAAGCATGAGACTGACACATCCACATCAGGTTGCTGTAGGTTGACTTACATAAATAACCATTTTTAAAGTGGTTAAAGGCAACTGCTTTAGATTCCTGAAGACGCTCTCATCCAAAAGGCCTCTTCTGTTCGGACGGACAGGTGGGGAGTCCCAGGTATTTAACCTCTGTAGGGTCATTTACATTTTGAGGGGGTTTTTCATAGACGCCTTAATTTGGCACATTTCTTCAGCTCTTGTGAAAAATAATAAGTTACATGTTCCTAGCAACCACCATCACGACTGATGGTTAGGTTGATTAATATCTTTTCCTTAAAATAGTCAAATTTATATGTTAAATAAGCTTTAAAAATCCTAGCATGTGTAGATTGTGTGTAATTGCACACAAACTTCCTACGGCCTATTTCATTCTATACAGTATGAAGAGTTAATATTTCACCCTAACCCACATACATACAGAGGGATTTACTGCCTGTGCAGGAAAATAGATTTACTGCACAAGTCAATTACCAAACACAATTGATGTGGTGAACATTGTCAATATGTGACATTGTAAGCAACCTGTCCATTCAGCTACCACTGTCAAAGCAGTGTCGCTGAAGGTCAAGGTGTTCCTCACTGTTGGGAGGGGACACCTTGGTTATTTTCAACACACTTCTTGGCAGCGACTAAGTGGATCATTGGCAGGATTGTGAGAAGCAGAAAACCATCATTTGAATGACAGACAGTGTAGTCAGGTGAAAGTAACTTTGGCAGGGATGTCAATAAATCACAATGAAGTAGGCTGACCTGAAGGTGTGATGCAACAAGTATTTAATTAAAGGGTTACAAAGCCTTAATTGCTCCAGACCCGTGAAATGACATAAAGAGTGACAGGCTGCACATGTGATCAGCATGCTTTAAAAAGGGGGAATAATTGACCAGCAGCACCTGCTCACAGACGGAGGGCAGTGCTACAAATGAGCAACTGGTGTCACAAGTCATTTCTGCTGCTGAGGCTAAAAAGCGTCGCTTACAAGCCAATTATTGCACCATTTCTGTACGGACCTCTGGATCTCTGCTCTAACTAGCTTTAGTTTAAAAAGCTCCCGCACCTGAAGGAGAAGAGTTGTGCAGGAGGGAGAACCAATGGGCTGCAGAAGCACACACACACACGCACGCACGCACGCACGCACGCACGCACGCACACACACACACACGCACATACAAGCACACACTTTTTTAAACTGTTCAGCATCCCAATTTAAATGAAAACAGGCCCTTCTTATCTGTGTTATTTGTTCTATAAAACAAATCAAGCAAAAAAATAATCTGTTTTCGCTGAGACTGGTTTTGTGCACATTTCATGCCAACTAGTAAAAATGACAAACAGAGCCATATATCAGACACAAAAACAGCAGAAATAAAATTATGCACCACAATTAAATACTTTTTCTGAGCCATAAACTCCAGTGATCTGATTTTTGCACTTCCTTAAAGTTGGCGAACTTACAAAAGACAGATAAAAAAAAAGGTCAAGACCGAAGCAGCAGGAGCCAAAATATCCGGACTGACGATCCCTTGGACGTACCGGACCTTCATCATCAATATAAAACAATAATAAATACACAGTTATGGTTGTGATATGATCATGGTCTCCAAAAAACGCTGGAGCCTACGCTTCCCATAATGCAACTTGATAGCATCTTTTCATTAGACCCTCACTGCCTTGTAAATGCCCATATTTTTCAAACTCTGTGCCTCCAGTTTGTGACAAAGGTGATTCTGTTATAAAGACATGAAAAGACACACAATTCAAAAAACACAAAAATGATCAAGTATAATCAAAATCTGTTAAATTAAATTATTTAGACTGAAGTAAATGTTGCTGGGGCTGTAAATTGTTCATTTTCTTCATTTATACAGAGTTTGGAAAATTCCTGATGTTGCAGAGAGAGACAAGCTGTTGAGTCCAATTTCATAATAATAAAGATAAGACATGGTATAGAACAAAAACAAAAAAACAAACAAAAAATTAAACTAATATACTAATATAACTAAAGGGCTTTTACACTAGTTCATATATGATTTACTTTGCGTTATCAAAATCTAAAAAGAATGACAGTGTTGTTATTATGACTCTGTTTTTTTTAATTAATTCCAAGGTGACACAGCACATGGTAATTTTGTTTAATTTCAGACTAGTTTACCACTGAGAAAGCAGGAGCATGAATATTACTGCTTGGTGTAGAGCAGTGTGACAGGCAGCTAATCACAATCCTGTTCCATACAAGAGCACCTGTTGGGTTGTGATTTCATTGGCTCACGGTGCGTTCAGACAGACACAACGAAGCAGGCAGTCTCTTATCTCTCACGAGCCTGAAGCTTGTGGGTGTGTTTGCACATAATTTAAAACCTCAAATTGGTTATTTATTTTCTCTCGTTGCCTTTGTAGGTGTCACATTTCCCAGAGCGATGCGTTTCCAGGCATCGTTCGGCTTATGCGTGTCCCAGAAGCTCGTTCGAGCTGTGACGTGGAACATTGGGAAGCTGCAACAGTCAGCTTTTCAACAACTTTGTTTGAGTTGAGCGGAGTGGAAA